GCGGTAGGACCACAGCTATCTTGTGTATGTGGTGTTGTATTCCTCTTGAATTTCTAGTTAAATCCATTTAAGTACAGCAATTTCTGGAGCAAAGAACTTTGCATCTGCATCAGTCATAAACACCTTTATTCAATCATGCATATTAAGATAAATCTACTATCAACCCTGCTATTTATTCCCAGCCGAAGTTGTCAGTTGTTTCATCTTGAGTCACATGATTCAACCTTCGACAAGCTCTGGTACTCAGGTTATTTATTCAACTCTGCAGGCTGCTTATTATAACTCTGCTAAAGAATTGATTAATTCGAACTATTGAAATAATTGCACCCATGTTGATCTCTTCTTTGAGGAATACCTACTTCAAGGTTCATCAACTGTCTGATTTCTTCTTAGGTAATACTACCCATTCCATACTGTGGCTGATTAGTTTTGCTGAAAGGACTCTGCTCTCTTTGCAATTTTGCATCAGCAGAAAGATCCTCACACAGTCACACCCAAAAACATAGAAGGAATTAAGGAAACCTTGTCAAAATTTCAAATAGGACGGGCATAAGTACATGTGACTTTTGGACTTCCTCCATCCCAAATTACAAGATGTTTGATTTTTTTTACCCTAAATTTGACCACTTGTCTTATTCAAAAAAATTTGACCACTTGTCTTATTCAAAAAATTGTGCAAACATAAAAGAAGTGTCAAATTTAAGTCATTCTTGAAAAAAGAACTTTTATAATTTGGGATGGAGGAAGTATAATAAATTTATTTGCAAAATGCATAATATTTGCAAAAGAAGTGATATTTTGCACAAATTTTTTTTGCGGAAATAAGAAAAGTGCAAAGTCGACGAATGAAGGTGACGGATTGGCCTCAATATCCAAAAAAGTCAAACGCCTCTGAGTCTGTGTTGATAATTTGGGATGGAGGGCGAAGTATATTTTGAAACATGTGAACTAATAAATTTATTTGGAGACATAAATGTTATGCTTTGCTATAATATTTTAAAGTTGGGGAATAAATTTATTTGGAGACATAAATGTTAACAGCTTGTAGGGTTTGTTTACTGTTTTATACTGACTCCCATGTTGAAAGGGCATTACACTTCTCTGGCACCAGGGCCCTGCTCATGTTAGAGATATCCATAAAGATAGAGTTAGAGCAAAATAGACAGATGTGCGACACTATATAACGGTTTTAAGGTGAAAATTGGGCATGATAATGAAAATTGGGCATGAGTATATTTGTTAATTCACCACCGGATATCGAGTAAAGTCTACTACTAGAAAGAATTTTGGACATGAATAAGGCACAACACAACAAGGTTTTACATTAAAAAAAAAAAAAAAGACATTAGCATCAGACAGAACTCAAAAAAGCGTACAGGTGGCACTAGTACTCTAGACAGCAGAGTACACGTCCTCACTGTGCTCACTCCCCGTCCGGGGCCGCCGGCTGCTGAGCTCAACGGCTTTCTCCTGTGCTGCGTGCGCATCGTGCGGCGGCCGCTGTGGGCGCAGACCCCGACGAAAACGGCAGAAAATTTGAATTCCCTCTCGCTCCTCGCCGCCGCACCATGCTGCATCTCATGTCATCCTGTGTGCACCACGAAACGCAAAACTCCAATCCACGCCTCCCAAAGCTCTACCCCTCAAACACCACCACCACCGGTCACCTACCTCTCCCTCCCCACCGCATTCCAAGTTCCCATTCGCCCCGTTTGAATCCCATGGGGCTCTGTTTCAGCAAGAAGCAGCAAGCGAAGCGCCGAGACGGGGAGCCGTCCAGTGACACCAAGAAGAGCGGCGGCCGGAAATCCGGCATGGACACAGTGTTTGTCGCCGATGCGAAGAAGGCGCCTCAGGCAAAGGCGCCGGCGCCGCCCAAGAAGGCTGTAGCCAGGCCGGAGGAGCCGACAGCCGACAAGAGGACGGTGTTCGTTGTCAAGGCCGCGGCGGCGGCTGCGGCCGCCGAGGTCGCGGCCGCCTCGAAGGGCGGGCGTGAGGAGGCGGAGGCGAAGAGGGCGGCGCCGGAGGAGGAGCCGAGGCCCGTCGCCGTGGGCCGGGCGCCGGTGCGGACGTCGAGCTGCACCAAGGAGGAGGTGGACGCGATCCTGATCCAGTGCGGCCGCCTCAGCCGGAGCTCGTCCGCGTCGGGGAAGGCGCCGTCGGGCGAGCACCGGAGGTACGCCGGATCCAAGCGGAGCTACGACTTCGACCACGAGAGGAGGGGCGGCGGCGGCGATGTCGACGAGTGCGATTGGGGCAGGGAGGGGGCCGTGGTGGCCAGGCCCTCCCCGCGCCGGAGGACGCCGGAGCGGAAGCGCTCGTCGAGCCACGATGGCCGCACTGGCGGCGGGAGCGGGAGCCGGAGCCGGAGGATTAGCCGGTCGCCGGGGCGGCGGGCGGACGTCGTCCCCGCCGCGGGGAGCTCCGGGACCGGCGAGCGAGGCGCGAGGCAGCAGCCGGGCAAGATGGTGTCGGTCCCGGCCAGGGAGAAGGGGCGCCCGCCGTCGCCCGTGAAGGCTGCGTCGTCTGGCAAGAGGTACCCATCGCCAAGGTCGAACTCGCCCGCGAGGGCAGCGGCCTCGGGGAACGAGAATGCCGGGGCGCAGTCGACGCAAGGGCCATCGCTGAGCCGCAGCTCCTCGAGGAAGGCCGAGCAGTCGCCATTCCGTCGCAACCCCATGGTGGACCTCGACGAGAATGCGCTCGGCAACAACCACCATCACAATGGCAAGCCTCTAAAGGTATGGATCCACGAAAGTTAAGAATTTTCCTCCATTGCAGCCCTCAGTTTCCCCACCAAATTTGCTGAATCTTCCAAATGACTTGCAGAAATCCGCTGATGGTGCCGTTGCAATTGCATTGCCACAGAAGACCGCGGAGCGGGCAAAGGATCAGATCCCCTGCTGCCAAACTGCGAAGGAGAAGGAGATTGTGGAGGAGGCTGTGGCTTCGGACACCAAATCAGCGCCCGCAAGGATGAACGCGACCCACTCGGTGAGCATTGTGGCCGAGAACGTCACCAATCCGAGGCCGGGGAGCCGGTCGTCGAGGCGGTCCTCACGCGACTTCGAGCACAACGGCAACACCTACGCATCCCTGCTACTGGAGGACATCCAAAACTACCACCAGCAGAGCACCAGCGCTGCCACTGCCACTGAAGCGCCGACCTTCGCGCTCCCGGCGTGCGTGTCGAAGGCCTGCTCGATCCTTGAAGCGGTCGCCGACCTCAACTCCTCGTCGTCCGAGAATAAGAGCTTCGAGCTGGAGAGGTCGGTCAACGACAAGGAATCCGTCAACGGGGGGTACGGCGGCAAGGGTGCGGGCACCACCCTCGTGGTGGAGTCGGAGGTCGGCGTGAAGGACGACCTCATGGAGCCGAGCATGCACAAGTACGTCTCCGTGCGTGACATCCGCGGGGAGACCGAGCCGCAGGAGTCAGCGGGGAGCAACAGCTTTGCCGGCAACGCCTGGACGTGCTCGTGGGAGCCCAATTCCGTCGACTCCACAGACCGTACCAGGACGGCCTCGCAGTCGTACAACGGTGACGAGGTGGAGCAGTCATGGCAGAGCAAGCAGAAACCGTCGTCCTCCCAGGAGCCCAGCCACCGTGGTTCTAGTAGCAATGTTCAGGTCCAGCGCGTGCGCGGTGCTCACCGCCTCAGCGGCAGCAGCAGTGCTATCATCGGCCAGTCCGATGTTCGCGGTGCCTCGGCGACTTCGTCCATCGCTTAAGGATGCAACTGGAGGTTTTAGGTGCCATGCTCTAGTTGGTCATGGTAGTTCCTGGTTCTCAAGTTGTAATGGCAAGATAGGTTGCTGTGTTCAGACTAGTGTTTAAGCATTTGAATTCTTTGCTTAGTTTGATGATATACATTGTTCAGATGTAATCAGGAGTGACATTGGCAATGTATACTCTTTCGTTCACCTGTTAATCCGTAGCGTTCGGCTGATGGTTTCGTTCACCTGCTTATGTTCTACTTTTCTTTATGGGTGCGAAATTTTTTGTTTTGTAATTGGATTTGTCTCTGTCACTATCAAATTATCAATATACTTGTATCCTGATTTCCCAAGTTCATATAAACTAAGCTGCTTAGCACCAGTTTAGTAAGTGAGAGGTAACTTGTCAATTTTTAGCAAGTTGCTTTCATAGCTCAGCTGGTTTGAGCTCCCACAAACACTACTTCAGTAAGTGAGAGATAACCTGTCAATCCTTACTAAGTTGCTTTCATAGCTCAGTTGGTTAGAGCACCCGTTTAGTAAGCGGGAGGTCTTGAGTTCAACTCTCAATGAAAGCAATTTTGTATAAAATTTATTTTTACATTGCATTTTACCTTATTTTCAAATGACTGGACTCTCATATTTTTTTTCCAAATTTTATTTTTGCATTGCATTTTACCTCATTTTCAAACAACTGAACTCATATTTTTCTGAAGCTCTTTTTTAAGATCAAACTCATTTCTTACCTCATATTTTTTCAAACACTTTTTTGACCGAGCTCTTTTCTAACTTTTTTAAGAACCTAGCTCTTTTCTTACATTTTTAATAACCGAACTCTCTTGTTTCCAAGCTCTTGCTAATTTGTATTGAGATTTTTCTTACCTCTTGTTTTACTCCCTTTATCCATAAATAAATTAATTAGTTTAAAGTCAGACATTTTTATTTTTATTAATTAAATTCATAAAAATACAAATATTTATGGCCCAGGAAAGAGGGAGTAAACTGTTATCTTTTCAACCTCCTGTTAATTTTCACTGCAAATTTTATCACTTTTTCTGTAACGACTAGACTCTTCTTTTCAAGCTCCTGCTAAAGTTTTTTTTTTTCGCCGTGGGCTTAACATTACAGCCCATCATTAAAGAAAACCCATCAAAAAAGTATTGTTAACCAAGCCTCTTCGCCTCTTCGGGCGCCAAGCCTTTCGAAACCCGCGGAGCGCAACTGGAAGACGAAGAAGGCAAAGGCAGAACCGCAGAAGCCGCCGCCGTCGCGGAGTGCAAGCCATGAAGTTCAAGGCCTTCTTCACCGACGATGGCATCTCCCTCCTCGACAAGCGTAAGCGTGATATCGCACAAGCACTGCTCTCCTCTCGCTCTTCCCCTCCTTTTCTCTCCCGCAATTCATCGAACACGCCTCGTGCGTCCCCACGATTTTTTGCCGTACAGGATTCCTACCGGCCATGGACAAGGTGGGGCGCGTCTGCCATGTTTTCTTCACGCCCACGCACGCCATGCTCCTCCACAACCTGCTCGGCGCCACGGCCGCTGGGCCCGACGGCGGCGGCCCGCAGTGCGTCGCGCAGTTCGCCAAGGACCTCCTCTTCCGTGAGTACAACGTGTCCTCGCGAAACGGGAACCAAATCGCCTTCTCCGTCGAAGTCGCGCTGCTTCACCGCGCGCTCCGCAGCGTGCTCGCCGTCCACGCGCAGCCGCCGGCCGCCGGGGACGCCCCTGGTGCCCCCGCTATACAGGTGAAGCTCGTCAACAAGCTGCCCGCAGGGTCACGAACCGCCACGCCATTCCTCACTTTCGAAACCAAGGGCGCCCGCGCGGCCGTCGTGCAGGATGTGCCCATCTCGCGCCCTCTCTCACGCTCCGACATTGAGCGGTTGCAGGCCGCCCTTGACGCTGCCAAGGATCTCCCTCAGGTTTGTAGCCTTCATGTATCATCTTATGGTTCCTAATCATTTGTCGCACAAAAAAAATGGACCTGTGGTTCAGGTTCACCAGATCAATTCGGATTCAAATTTACAGCGATTGAACCTAATGGAAGTGTTTTTGGATTATTTGTTGTTGGATGGGTAAACTAATACTATGATTCTGTCATATTCACATTCTAGTTGAAAGGCTGGTTCATGAAGTGAATGATGTTTGGATTCAACTCTGAACAAATTTGTCCTGGTGAAATGGTGAACTGCATATTTGTTACTAGTAAAGATATTTTAATTCTTACAGAATGGTGTTTGATCCAGACATTTATGTTAAGAAAATTGTAAAAATGCCCTTGGATGCAATACTGGACAAGAGCAATCCATAGCTATAGTAACATTTTTTTAAAAAAAATTGTAACAGAATTACCAATATTGAAATACCAATTGCGTATTTTGAATACTTTATAAACTACAGCTGCAGTTTAAATGCTTTTTTTCTGCTGAAATTGACTTGCACTCTCTAATAGTAGTACATGGTTGATAGATAGTTTAAACTATCAAACTATACCTTCCTTTGGGAAATGTGCTTGCAATCTTAAGGGGTCTGTATCTTTTTAATGTTATTTAGCCAAAGGCCCATAGCGCTGCATTATCACTTAGAGTGACCTTTTTGCTTAGTTGACAGTAGCACTAATGAGTGGGGAACTGCTGATACATGGTTGGCATCCTTTGTGCAGACTCTAGTCCAGGTTCCTGATCTGCCACAACTGCAAAGCTTAGTGGATCGTTTGAAAAATGTTGGTGATCTGCTAACAGTGGCTGTCACCCAATATGGTGATCTCCATCTACAAGTTTCTACTTCTCTTGTTACTGTTGGCTCTGAATTTCGGAAGCTCCGGGTTATTGGTGATCGTGGTAAGATATGGCACTAGGTAGTTTAAATCAGCATTAATTTCCTATCCTGGCCTCTTGTTTAATTCAGCTGACTACATATTGCTCTATATTCAGCAAATGCACCTGTTGGCAACCAAAATCTGACTTCTTCGACTCGTATGGATATGGCAGTTGAGAAAGGCGAAGCACTTTCAGTGGTATTGTTCCCAAGCGCCACTTATTTTACTCTTCCACTCTTCTTTTGGTGCCATTTAGTTCACTGATTTCTTTTTCTTTCTTTGTTCTCACAGCAAGTGAATATGAAGCACCTTGTTAAGAGTCTACACTGTCATTTGGCCAAGCCAGACTGTACCTTCTATGGTTTGTTTACAGCTATAGTCTCAAAGATATTTTTTGTTCAACAGACTTTTTGACTTAACATTGTTCTTACTGTTTGTATAGGTATTGCCCCTGGTGGTGCTTGTTTAACAGTAGTATTCCAGTATTTCATCCCAGGAACTAGATTGGCAGACAAGTCCATTAGCTTCTACTGCAGGCTTCCAGTCCTCGACCCTGGATCCAGTTAAATAATTTACCAGGCATAATTAGATTTATGTATCAACAAAGAATATTAGGTAAGAGTAGCAAGACTATTAGCTTAGCTGCTGCATATTTTCCTTCTTGTCTATTGTCTACCTTAGGGACTTGGGCTACTATATATTGGCTTCACAGTTAGTGTGATATGCTGCTTTATGTGAAATGCTGATATGACATGTTGTACAAGCTGACATGGATCAACTTTGTTATGACACTGGATCTTTACTGACAGCACTACAGAAGCATATTAGAATTGTGACTGCCATTACTATCAGGACAGCTTATATGTAAGGCATACAAGTTTGAATCGTTTTATGCTATATATGGGATTCTGTCTTTGTGAGTTCTTCCTGTTTCAAAGCCCCCTTTGTTTGCTGCTGTTGGCTTCAACTCCCTGTGCTATCCTCCAGCATTCTGAAGAGTATAAGCATAAGGAAGCACTAGGGTATAATATGCCTGTTTAGCTTGAGCCTGCCAGAATACTAACAATATATGAATGTTTGTCTGTTTACAAAATAGATTTGGACAATTGGATGTCCAAACTTGATAGATAGTTTTTTTCTGGGTAGCACTATATATGTAAATGGCTCCAAAATCTGAAAACATTTGCATGCTGTAAAATATTAATGTAGCCAGTATTTCCTTTTGTGATTGGTAATCTTTAAAACAAGGTTATGGGAGGATATCAAAATTAGTCTCTCCCCTGAAAATTACTTTAATTATTGTTTAGGATCTGCTACCAACAAACTGACACACTAAATCGTTCCTTCAGGGAGGTGAGATTAATTTACAATTTAGGTGAAATTTCGATTATTCTGATGCTCAATTTAGTTTTGAGCTGACAACAGTGTGATCCTTTTTTTTTTGAAAAGCAGAAAATCTAAAACAGAAAACAGGTTCCCAAAAAATGGATCCAATGTTGATGCTCGGAATCTTTCTTGGAAGATCTCTATAGACTGTAGAGCCCATGCGCTCGACTGTGTCCTCTGCCCACATACCACATGGTATCCCATATCTGTACTGTCCATTCTTTCGCTGAAAACACTGGTCTGATGTTGCTGCTTATACTGATTTGTTGTGAGAGGACAACACCGTTCTTTCGCTAAAAATCACTGTTCTTTCGCTGAAAAGTACTGCTGCTGAAGTAATCATAAGCAGTACGGCATGGATCTTGACCTTATTCGTTTCGCTGAAATTTAGCTGATGCTGCAGCTTATGCTGATTTATTGTTAGTTTATATTTATATATGGAGCATTTACAGTTCTGTCAATATGTAGTACTAATTTATGTAACCAGCAAGCAATCAAAATCAATCTGATAATAATACGCGATCATGTGAGCCGTACCAGCTTTAGTGGTCCAACCATTTCTTCGTCTGTCGAAGGCAATAAATTCTGAACAATCAGTCATGTGTCACTCGGCATCTCTCCGATGCCACTTTGCTCACATAGTCACATTACATGCTGTATGTATACCTGTACTCAAATTAGTTTCGGTTCCAAAACGTATGATACCAGTTTAATTTTCCCCGATCTTAAATATACAATATAACACCAAGAGCCGGGGGGAGAAACACCCTATTTCTGCTACCCAAAAGAACCAGATCATCCACCTCTAGCCCTCATTGGAACCGAGCTCTGGATCGACAACGTAGCCTCTCAGCGAAGGCGTCTTGCCGAAAGTGGGACTAGGGCCTTTCTTCTGCATTCTCTTCCTCGCGATGTGGCCGCGGATCCACGGCAGCGCATCCTCGTTGATCTTGATCATGAGGAAGAAGAGGATGCGGTAGATGAAGATCATGCTGAAAATGACTGACAAGTCGATCCACTTGTTCCGGTCCACGTTGATCTGGAAGATGTACTTCAGGATGAAGTCCCCGGGGATCTTGGGTTGATCTGGGTACTGGTTGTCGAATACGAGGCCCTTCATGTCGTTCTGGCACTGGCCCTGTTGGATGTATGGAGTTTGGTGTCAAAAAGTTCAGGTTGGAGTCTAGTGTATGTGGGTTGCTCTACTGTGTGGTGTGGAACCGAATTTACCTGCAGTGCCCAGTAATGGAAGCTGATGTACTGCATGGGGTATCTCCAAAAAGGCTTTGGGATGTCGTATGGAAGTCTGAAGTAGCCAGAGACCAGCATAAATATTCCCTGTCCAGGAAAATTGTTGAGAAGATTTCATCATGATAAATTCCAAACTCATAATATTTTCAAGGGGAGTATAATGATGTCTATTTACGGTGGCATGAAACTACTCAACATAACTAAAACACTGAATCACCAATAATGTATATTCTGCACCAATAGCTAAGCAAATCAAATATTTTTTTTGCTGAGTGATAGCTACAAGTTCACCAATGCCTCATGCTATGCTAAAATTGCTGAGCTTGTACTAGAATGTTGGCCAATGTGTAGTAAAGCTCCAGATAGTATTGGTCAGGACAAGCTGGATGCCTTATTGGATCAATAAACGTTGAAGTCCTTTGATGTATTCTGGTCCCAGAAAACCATATCAAGTATGGGTGTTCTTTAGTTCATGAATTCAACTTAAATATCACAGTCTTAACATCTGAGCTCAAAAGATATTTTACAAGTTGATTCATAATCCCGTACTTAACCACATATTTTGAACACATATCCCCAAGCAATAATAGGTTATAAGGGCAGATAAACTGACATGGGAGATGGGTGAAAATGCCATACCTGAATTCCAGCCCCTATGATGATACCCATGAGAAAATTGGGAATGACACTGGCAATTGCCATCATTAAGCTTTCAACCACTGTAACACTGGCGTACAGGTTCAAGACGAAGAAGATATAGTGTTCGAAACCAGGATGCAGGCGCACCATAAAGTAGCATATAGTTCCCGACAAGAAGCATATTAGAATCAGGAATGGCGTTGCTGAGATGGTGTTACTGATGACAAATGCCGCGACACCATAGTGCCCATTCAGCCGTTCCCGTTGGAAGACCTGTATAAATGAAGCAAAGGAAAGGTGAGCAAAATTCATAGCGTTTCTAATTTGCAAATGAAATAACACAATCTTAATTTCACCTTCATTTCTTCAACAAAAGAAGGGAATCCTCCAATGGACATGAATGTAACGAACCCAAAGACGAATGCAGAACAGGAAGCTCTGGCCTGCAGAGGCAAGGTAGAGTGAATGCATTAAAATCAACCATATGCTTCATGACAATGGTCATGTGACTACATTATTGTGCATTCATATCAGTCCAGCCCAGAACTTCCTGACCAATTTCTTTTCTTCCTACTTACCAGGATGGATGTGTATTTAGTGCCAACATCCAGGTAGATTGTGCCGATGCAAACAGTCACCAGGAGATAGATCAGGAGCCTGAGCCAGTAATACCCAAAGTCCCGTGACATGTTGATGAACGAGCGCTTGGTCAGGGTGCAAGCCTGCATCAGGAAGCTGGCCTGGCTGCCACCTGAATCCAGCACAGTTCCTTTCTGTAAGGAACAAGATGGTTATGGTTATTTCCTAGCCCCAGATGCGGTATTTATTATGTGGACACAGGAAACAGATACAACATATCAATGCATAATGTCGCATTTGATGACTCAGAAAACGTACCATTCGCGAAATATCATTAACTTTCTCCCTTGCAGCGTAGTAGTATTGGGACCTGCTGTAGGATGCAACCAATTTCCTGATGGCTTCTGATGTAGTCATCCTATCAAGGGGATCGTCGGACCTCTCAGCCTTTTCATGAACACCAAAGGTCATATTAGTATTTATTTACATCAGAGAACAAGTTTTTTTTTCAAGTTTTGTTGGCTCTGATTTGCCCATGGACCTGCTTCTTCTTACCCTTGCTTTCATTGATCCTTTCAGGGTGGCCTTCACCTTGTCGAAGTCCGAGTTGACACACCTCAGGAAATGGTCCGATGGATTCCGCAGAGGCGGGCAAGGGAAACCGCCTTGAGCAAAGAACTGCAACCGAGAGACGCAAGGAGTCAGTCGCAACAATCTACTGTGTAATTCCAGCGATGTGTTCCTTTAAAAAAACAACCACAGTGTTGCGGAAGCATGCATTCAGCATCGTGCGGTAACACCGGCAAGAATCCAAAATTATTATTACCTCACATGCTTGCGATGCTTGGCCGAAGTACACGGTTTTGCCCCCGGACAGCAGGAAGAGCATGTCGAAGAGCTCGAACACCTCGCTGCTGGGCTGGTGGATGGAAGCAATCACTGTCCTGCCGTCCCTGGCCAGGCCCCGCAGCGTCTGCGTCACGAAGAACGCCGAGGAGCTGCACACATACAGCCACGCAGCAGCTAAGTTAATTATCCTCCGCGGTAACCACCACCAACTGACACTGAACACTGAAGGCTCACGCTTTGCCGTGCACCACCACGTGCTGCTCACCTGTCGAGGCCGCTGGTGGGCTCGTCGAGGAAGAGGAGGCGCGGGCGCATGAGGAGCTCGAGCGCGATGCTGACGCGGCGCTTCTCGCCGCCGCTGACCCCGCGGAGGTGCCAGTTTCCGATGACGGTGTCGGCGCAGTCCTGGAGCCCCATCTCGACGATGGTGCTCTCCACCAGCGCGCGCTTGTCCTCCCGCAGCATCTTGTCCGGCAGCCGCAGCAGCGCCGAGTAGCCGATCGTCTCGCGCACCGTCAGCGTCCCGATCAGGTTGTCGTCCTGCGTCACGTACGCCTGCAAGCAGAAGCACGCGCGCGGATACACGGCACCAACGCCTCTGGGTCAGTCTCTCCTCCGGCAGCTCTACTACTACCAGTAGTACAAACTCTCCCATAAAAAAAAAGTTGGTCCACTTTCTAATCTACTCCTAAAAATCAGAGCTAAATTATCCAGAAAACCGATGCGTTTGGGCCTCTGCAGGATCGCGTTGCGTGCAACTGCTGGTGAGACAGGCCCAAACGACGCCACACAGCCGGCCGGTTCGTATCACCATAAATTCGCAGCAGGATCAGAGAGAAAAACCCAGCTGTCAGAATTTATGCCGTGTACTCCGTAGGTGGCTTCAGCCGTTCTGGCCCTCAGAGACGTGTATTGTATTGACAGCAGAGCACAGGACGATATCGATCGCCATTTTTTTCGCCTCTGGATCTATTGATGAGATCAAAACGATACTACTAGCAGTACGTAGTACGACCTACGGAGTATGTTTGAATGAGTTGGAAGGGGAGGCGACAGCGCCATCGACCAACCGATCTAGGGCGACTTAAATCCGCTCACCAAACTGCACTGCATTACACGCCGGAGCTCTATGCATAGCCCGTACGAGCTCTATGCATTACACGCCGGATGCGAAAAAACGACCAGAATCGATTGGATTGGACGTGTACGCTAATAACACCGTGCCGGCTGGTCTTCCATTATTCCTGTCATCGAATGCTCGACGTATGCACGAAGTATTAAATATAGATTAATTATGAAACTAATTGAATAACTTGTGACTAATTTGTGAGAACGAATTTTTTAAGCCTAATTAACTCAAGATTTGGCAACACTGTGCTACAGTACATATGCTAATAACGAATTAATTAGGCTTCAAAAAATTCATCTAGCAAATCAGCCTCTATCTATTCAATTGGTTTTGTAATTAATCTATATTTAATGCTTCTTATTAGCATCTAAACATTCGATGTGACATGAATTTTAGAAGCGACTAAATAACCAAACACCCCCTAAGCCGCTCGCACCTCTGCTAGCACTATACATCAGTCGGCTGATGCTGTTTCGTTACGAGAGAAAAACACCGAAAGCCGAAACACTGTTCCAACTGATTTATTGGAAGAGAAAAATACTGTTTCAGCTGAAAAATACGGATTACAAACCCAAGCGAACAGGACCACTGTATCGTAACTAATAAGCACGACGGATATGAAAGCGAACAGAGTGTAGTGGTAGGTCTTAAAAAAAACAGAATGAGAGTAATAGTTATGCCATTAAGTGAGTATAGTGATAGCACAGCCGCATATATATTTCATTTGGAAAATGGCTCTCTTCTTTACTGCTGTTTCAGCGCCACTTTTCAGCGAACAAAATCAGCGTCAGCATCACACAAATTTCAGCGAAGCCAACAGGGGCAACATAAAATACACTTCAATTAGCAACGATTTTTTTTTTTACTGACACCAAGCAGATTACCAGATCCGGACACCTTCAAATACGATTTGCATGCTCCGAGATGACAGTTATATATGGATGATAGTTTCGAACTTCAACAGATCCTACCTATGAAACCCTTAACGGAACTGCTAGCTAGCTCCTATATATGGATGATCTGGCTGCAAGTAGCAGTATGGACTGTTTGGTGTTCAGAAATAGAACAGAGATTCTATTTTTCCCAGTTGAGAGTACGTGCTGCATGATCTAGGAGCGTAAGTGAGGACTGAGGAAGCAGCAAGGTCACGTGGATGCGTAATAATGGATAGTTACGTACCGCGGCGCCGAAAGAGAGCTTGGCCTTGCGGCCGTTGAGGAGCACGTCGCCGGAGAGGAAGGCGTTGGCGGCGAGGCGGCCGGCGAGGGCGTCGAGCAGGGTGGACTTGCCGGAACCCGAGGGGCCCATGAGCGCGGTGAGCGAGCCGGGCTCCGCGTACCCGGTGAGCTCGTCCAGCACGGTCTGCGTCTTGCCGGGGCCGAGCGCCACGGTGACGCAGAGGTCCTTCCACGTGAGCCTGGCCGACACGTCGCCGATGAGCGCGGCGGGGCCGGCACCCGGCCGGAGCGCCTTGCTGTCCCGCCACAGGGTCTCGCTCAGCGGGCTGAGCCCCACCACCATGGCGCCCCCCGCGTCCGCCGCCGACCCGTTGGCCTGCAGCTCCACCATGGCCTGCCCGGCCGCCGCGGACCGAGGCGTCGTGCCGTCGCCCTGAAGGTTGTCTCCTCCGGCCCGTCTCATGGCCTGCAGGCGCGCAGCGGTGCTGGGGCTGGAGCTGGGAGCTGGAGGCTAGCTAGCGTGGCGGGGCCGTGCACTGGGGCCGCGTCGAGAGAGACCGGCGGGTCGATGCGGTGGAGAGGCAGCTAGCGCGGCAGGAGTTATAAAGGAGAAAAGCATGCATGCACAATAAAGAGGGGGAGTTAATGGATGGATGGAGCAATCAGAGAGCAGCGAGCAATGGAGGTGAGGTGAGCAGCCCTCGGCCTCGGTAACAAACTGCAACCAAATTGCATGTCTTGGTTCCTCGCATTGTTGGGCTCCCATCCCATCCTAATGCCAATAATTATTAATTTCTCATTTCCAGGATGTAGCATTTCGTATTTTTCGAGTAGTACTATATATCGGTATAATAATAGATCAAACATAGTAATGGTTATCACACCAAATAGCATGTCATGGAAAAAAATTATGTTTAAAAAAAACTATTTTCAAATCATTGATCACGCTGGAGGCATTGCATTACCCACTCTTTTTCTTTTGTATAATATGATTATACTGTATATATACACGGAAGAACCACGTACATTTGTATTAAGAAGAAAATAGTAGTTGCAGTATATTACAACGTGAACCGTGTCATTACATTAAAAAAGTGCTAGACGTTCGTCAATTATACGTAGAGTGGACTCTGCCTCTGCTCAAAGTAAATCTTATTCTAAGCTTATTTAAATTTTGACCAAAATTATGAAAAGGTATCGACATCCATAATTTTGAGCTAGTTTTATTGAGTTCTCCATAAAATATGTCTTTGTAGGATATCTAACTTTTAGATGTTAAACTTCATCAAATATGTCACTCATTCTAAGTTAAAGGCATGTCAGTGACAAGTGACGACCCATCTATCATAAAGGAAAGATAACAATGCAACAATTAGAGGTCCATGCTTTACTAAGCGCTCATTTAATTAGATCCCATCCTCTAAACTTTAGAGCTCTAAAAATCTTAAAGCACTTTGGCTCAGTTTTTGAGATCTAAAACTCTAATGTGAGTTAGGATAAAGTTTATAGTTAATTTTGAATCCCCTTTGAGACTTGCTGGGTATAAGTACTCCCTCTGTCCCTTATTGTGTGTCGTTTCCGGTTTTCGTGCCACAAATTTGACTCGATTTATAGAAAATACGTGTAATATTTGTATCTCCAAATAAATTTATTAAAAAACTAGATTCAAATATCTTTTCAATGATACTAATTATGTACTATAAATATTAATATTTTTTAATATATATTTAATTAAAGTTGTTTTTTGGGAAGCGCAAACGACAGATAAAAAGGGACGGAGGGAATATGTCCTGAGAAAACCTATAGGAGAACCAGGGGCAACCTAGGCTACACCTGATAAGACTCCGTACGCCTATGTATTATTGGCTCATAAACGAAAATATATTCCCTCAATTTTAAATTATAAGTCGTTATGGTTTTTCAACCATTACATGATTTTTACTATACTACGAGCCACGGCCTCACACCGCTGGCTGCCACCTCTCGTGCTCTCCATGATTATTTTTCTTCCTCTTCTATGGTTTATCTTCTCTACTGCTTCTTGTTCGTTTCGCTGAAATTTGGCTTATGCTGATTTATTGTGAGAAGAAAACAATATTCGTTTGCTGAAAAGTACTGCTGAAAAACCTAAATTTGAAATATAGTGAGTATGAAAACAAGCAGATACGGACAACCCTATCCTATTCATATGTACTGCCAGTTCACGACTCGTATCGTATTCGCATGTACGTACGTGGTCAAATGCACAAACCCGTGCAGCACACTGCGCGCGCATGGTAACGGCGAAAAACGACTCCCCATTCGCGATATTTGGCTTATGCTCATACTTATACTGATTTGTTGTGAAAGAAAAAACTATTTATTTACTGAAAAATAATGTCGAAGTAGTGTTGAAGAACAGGACAATCGACGGATTGGAGGAGCCAAGCGAACGGCGTCCGGCGATGGCCGATGGGAGTCAAGCAGCTGGGGCCGAGGCAAGCAGGCCACGACGGCGACACGTTTCGGTTACGGGGCGCGACGCCGTCCGCACGTATGGCCGCACGCCACATGACATGATCGGGTGGTCGCTGGTTGGTGCTGGTGTTGGTTTAGATAGGTTGGTGCTGGTTTTTTTTTGAGAAAAACACTGTTCACTAAGGGTGATCCACGGCGAGAGGGAGAGGAGCAGAGGTCGGAGACGGATGAGAGGTCCACAGCCAGCAGGTGCATTTATGGCGGTACTGGTAGACGTTGGCACTGTACTTTCATCGCCATACCACCTCCTTCCGACTCGCTCCTTTTTATCCCCATAATTCTCGGCTCCTGCGCGGGCATTCAATCGCGCCCCGCCGGCCCCGTCTCCTTTTTTTCGTTTCCAGCGGAGCGGATCATTCACTGGCCGGGACGGATGGTGCAGACGACGACAGCCAGCGATGGCGTGCCCTTGGAGTGACTAGTATATTTCCGTTTCTGCGAATATTTCACCTGAGCATAATATTTATGGGCATGAGCAGCTCATGAAAGGCCGTATGGGCATTAATTTAACCTAACATCATACTACTATGTTTGTGTGATGTTTCGTTTCAAAGCAAGTCAATCAAGTTCTGATGTTGATCCAAAAGGGCGATTAGTGGTGCTAATGCATAGTGCTAGTAGCTTAGTACTAGTATGGTGGTGGTACTCGAGTACTCGACGTTGGAATTGATGCTTGGCGAAAGGACACGTACAGGAAAGAAGAAACGGTGCGACACTGCGATATCTGTCGAATTCTGCCGACTATCAAGCTCCGACTCGGAGCGATCGACACTCGTGCAATCATACTAGTATCTGGCACCAGCAGCAGCGGTGATCTGACTATCACGCATTGTTGACAGGAGCAAATGGCGTCCCAACCTCCAGTTCCCCATGCGTCCTTGGCCGACCTCTTCGCCGACCTGTTCTGTTCCCCTCGTGGCAGTTCCTCTAGCCAAGTTTTCGGGCTGGCAGTCTTGGCACGCAGCCACGAAGGCAAGGAAGGCGTGATGACCGCTGGTTGGCTGGCTGGCTACTCGACTCATTGCCACCTCCGAAACAAAACTCCCTTCAAACTCTAGCACGGACGGACATGGTTGACCGTTGCGGTGGCCAGCCTAGCTAGATGAGACCAACGGAACGGAGGAGACCGACGAGATCAGAGCTCAGACTCCAGAGCCACCACCACCATCCTCCCAACTACGGGACGAGACACTGGGTTTGATGCGCGCTGCCCGGTTTGCTGGCAAAATACGCTCATAGTTTCGTGGTGTTATTTAGAAGAGCACCAGGCGCCCGCCGGAATCATCAATGACGTCGTCGTTAGCCGAAAAGATTCGCGTGCGTGCGAGAGAACGAAAACAAAACCAAAAACCCCGTGCATTAGCACCATTTTTTATTTATATTTAATGCTTCAGCATGTGGTCGCGCTAAAGATTCGATGTGATGCTGAAAATCTTGAAAAATTTTTGCAAAAATGGAAGGGGCAACTAAACTGGGCCCTAGCTGAGATCTCCGCACCTGCCATCCTCCCAACAACACGAGACGAGACACCCAGGGTTTGACCCGCGCGCTGCCCGGTCCTCCTGCTAGCTGCACATACACTCATAGTACAATATTACAGTCAATACAGATACAGAGCACCAGACGCCCGCCGGAAATAATCAATGACGTCGTCGTTAGCCGAGGCACGCGCGTGCGTGCGAGAGAACGAAAACAAAACCAAAAACCCCGTGCATTAGCACCACGCGAGGCCGCTGCCCGCAGCGCCGCACCAGCATGGTGGTCGCGCTCACGCAGGTGGCGTTGTTGTTCGCTGAGAGAGAGAGAGAGAGAGGCGTGCCGTGCCGTGTGGTTGCGCGTCAATTCGCGGCGCCGGGCAAGTAATGAGCCCCGCCGGCCCGGGCTTCCGGGGAGCGCCCTGCTGCCTCTCGCTAGCGGCTAGCTCCAACCGCTCGCGCGCGCGCGTTACGTCCATCGGTCCGCATCGGCTGCGGGCATCTATTGCCCTCTTCGCTCCCAGTTGTCAAAAGCGGCTGTCAGCGCAAAAGGCTCGCCCGTCTGCGTGACTTGATTGGCAGAGTTGGGCCAGAGGAAAAAATTATTATGTTAGTTAAAAAAGTATAGGTTATAAGCAACGTATATCTATCCCTTAAATCCCCGTGCGACCCTTCCCTTTCCCCGGGTTTTCGATGCAGAATGCCAGAATGGCGATGCGCAACCGCGCGATGGCGATTGGCGCGATGCGTCGCGGTACGGTGGCCATGCATCCGGTTCCCAAGGGACGCCCGTGCACGGTCGCAGCTAGCGCACGGGGATTTTTCTTCCTGCCGGCTTGCGCGCGGCACCTGTCTCTGCTTGGATCCCTGGAGGCCTGGACCGACCCTAGTACGTGTAGCTAGCTCGCGCCACGTAATCTGAGACTAGACGTATAGTACGTGCTACTGCTAAGTACTACAGTGCATAGAACACTACTCCGCGGAGGCGGAGCAAACAAAATAAGAATTGTTAGGCGCGGTATATAGGACTTGTGAGTCCATCTACAATGTTGTCTACAAAATCGCATTAATGAAGCAGCCCACTTTTTTTTTTCTTTTGGTTTACCGACGCCGACGTGCTCCGCTCCACTTCTGTGAGTGGATAAATTCGCACAGCCAGCGGTAACCGACGGACGGACGTGACAATGTCAATGCGCCAGCATGGGTCACTGAATCAATGCGTGAAGGCAAGATATCCGTTCGGATGTAATATCTAAAAAATCGGATAATCCGATAAGTATCGGATATATCCGGATATTTAAAAACGGAATTTCCGGATTTTATTCAAAAAAAAATATTGTTTAGTTAAAAAAATAAACTTGAAAGTTGAACAAACTTGGTATTCAAAACTTTTCAATTTGACAGTCATTTAGGGCTCCCGTTCAAAGTTGTTTTTTCATTTGACCAAATCTCAGAATACACAAAATGCGGCGTGTCAGCGCACGCTAAAGTTTGATCGCCAGCAAGATCATGCATGACTCATGACGTACAAACACTAGTCATAAATTGGGAATCTCCAGCAGGAGCACCGTCATGAACAGACAAGATTTTTTCTTCCCCGTGTTGTATATCTTGATGAGATGAACAAATATGTACGGCTCAATTTGAGCATAGGTTTTGCCTGTCTGAAATCACGCGCAGCAAACACTCAAATGGAAAGTTGAGAAAAAAATTATTATGGATGGCTGCCAACAGCCCCGGACTCTCAACTGCAAACCACACACAGTAATAGCGAGGTCTCTTTCCGTTGCAGGTCAAGCGTTAGGTGAGTGAGAGAGAGTGTGGATCCAGTGAATGAGCACGATCGAGGTAGCATCTGCTTGCTGATCGGTAATGATCGTGCCCATCTGACACTGTCCGTGCACGTGTCTAGCAGTTCGTTCAGCGTTCAGCCCTCCCGTCGTCAGGCAGGCCGTCAGTCGTCAGAAAGGAGCCATGCATACGCGCCCGGTGACCCATAACCTACAACTGCAAGCATGGCTACTACTACGAAGTACTGTACATTGTGCACAAATTAAGTTGCTGACTGTGTAACCGTACCCTGGAAGTAAGCAAGCGTAGCGACGTTCATGGAAGAAGAAAAAAAAGCCGCATCCAAATTCCAAAAACGCAGGGGCGGAGTACAGTGTCCAAGTCACTATTCACTTAGTAGCAGTGTTCACTAGTCCCTATACCTGTACCTACTACTACCGCATGGAACAGGTTTTGCATCTTTTATTTATTCCACTGAACCTACGACAGAAAATGTGGATCGGAGCTGCATGCTGCTGAGGCTGAGCAAGAGGAGACCCATCGGCCATCGCAGAACGAAGAGAGGATCGGATCTAGCAGGTGGGCACGCACTTCCTGCACTTGACGACGCACCGTGACGGGACGTGGTTGAGGCTGACGGCGCGCGAGGAGGCGGAGGCGCCGTCGTAGCACCGCTTGCCGCAGATCACCCGCCTCTTCCGGCACGCCGCGGCGCTGACGCAGCCCGCGCCGCCGCTGCCACCGGAGCCGGCGGACTTCCTGGCGGCGGGCCGCCGCCTCCTGGACGCCGCCACGGCCCTCAGGTTCTTCGCCTCGCCATTATCGGCGGCGGTGACGTTCGCGGCGCGCCAGCTGGCGCCGCCGTCCGATCTGAAGAGGTTGCCGGCCCTGGCGATGAACCCCCGCAGGTCGCGGCCGAGGATGGCCGCGATGCTGGTGCTGCTCTCGTGGTCGTGGCCGGCGAGCGAGAGCCTGCAGCTCGCCATGGCGATCGCCAGCAGGAGCACCAGCACTACGGCGCGCGAGCTCTTCATGCTTGCTTGCTGCCACCACCACCTCGATCTTTATGTTGCTAGATTGTTAGTGCACTGCAGATGAACTCACGTTAACCAACAGTGTTTGATCTCTGTTTATATAGGAGAAAGTCTCCTCAGGATGGGATGGAAACATCTGCATGAGCTACCGAATTTCAGCGAACGTCCAATGCGTGGTGGCGAACGTACAGGTGGTGCGTGAAAGCGTCAGCAGCCATGGAGGGAACGGCGAGGAAAGCACGGTTTCCAAGTCTCAGGACTAGGTTGGATCGAAGTAGCTAGATAAGCCGGTGACTGGAGGGGTAAAACACAAGATGGCAGGGAGCCTCATACCGTGCCTCCGCGGACTGCCCTGCTGCTTTTCACTTGTAAATTAAATTCTTGGCGATGTAGATGAGGTCATTTGAGCTGACGGTACACCCTTCATCAAGTCACTAGCTGGCATGCAAGATTGTACAATTCTTCCCCACATGCCAGGAACGTAGGTGTACCGAAATGGACTTCCAAAGAGAGAGAAAGCAGGGCCCCTATAATCGTGTCACCATATTTTACTAGGCCCTCGTTTAGTGCTAAAACTCCCAACTTTGACACTAGGTAAAAAGAAGATTTCCAAGTCTCAGGACTAGGTTGGATCGAAGTAGCTAGATAAGCATGTGACTGGAGTATTAAATATAGATAAAATCAAAATACTAATTATACTGCCCTGGTTTTCACTTGTAAATTAAATTCTTGGCGATGTAGATGATCTTTTGAGCTGATTAGTTAATGTTTGGTCAATAATTGGCATGCAAGATACAACGAAATTACTACCGTGTTTGCCATTAACATCAAACACTTCCAAAGAGAGAAATGACGATTCAGGTGACGGGCTAAATCGCACCATATTTTACTAGCAAAAGAAGCGACTATTTAGTTCATGCTAATTAGCCAGGTGTCTGTTCTAGGACCAACTGAATGTAAATCAACACATAACAGTGATGTAATATCATGTGTTGCGGCTCTCAACTGTTACGACGACACGGCAAAAAATCTAATTGAAATCTCATTATACTAGTACGACGCTTACGATGAGTCGACGACATGACAAAAAATCTATCTCATTATACTAGTACGGCGAAAGGCTGTTACCGATACATATGTTCCTGATACTCGTATCTTAAACTCTTATAAAGTAAAACCCTACTAATCTATTTTTCTCATTCCATAGCCCTCCACGTTATCGTTCCCTATCTCATACCATAGCGTTCCACGTCATCAAATGATCTAAACCATCTGATTTTAGTTGGCAATATCTGCCCCTTCGTTTATCGTCTGGCCTCTCCATCTCCCGTGGACCTCCAAGCCAAAGTGGAAGTAATTAACCATGCATTTTCTTTGTCAGTTACTAGACTCCTTAGTTCCTCGCAACAGCAAGCATTTCAATTCAACCGAGGAGTCCAGAAGCAAGCAATTCATCTCCTCTCCCATGGAACGGCAGCAGCGGCCATTAAGCATGCACTACTCTCTGTGGGAACCCGTTGCCTGATCACATCCAGTAACCGGTGATGGCCTATTTATCACCAAGAGCCAAAGAGAATCACACAGGTCGTCAACAAAGGCTGCTAATGTCTGACATGATCGTCTCCCTTAGTCTCTTCACCGTCATTTCGAGTGCTCACCTCATCATCGCACACGCGCAAGGGCAGCTGTTCGCATGGTCCTCTGTTCCCAATATATTGATCAGGACCGTTCTTAATCATATCTCATAAGGCTACGAAGTTGGTCAGTGATGGCCTTCTTCTTCTTTATCAGGAATTCAGTATATCCACCGCGGTAAGCTTTATGCCTTTATTGAGGTATCCTATATCTTTCTTGCATGTACCATCTGAAAGCTCTAGTTTAATTTGGGTGAATTGATGAAATCCTAAGTGCTAACTTAGTTTATTAAAGTGATCATGAGATAGGTAGCACTATTTCAAATGATAGAGCAATGATGAAGATTATGATGATGGTGTGGTGACCATGATGATCAAGTGCTTGGACTTGAAAAGAAGAAAGAGAAAAACAAAAAGCTCGGAGAAACTTGATAGGAGCTTTTTGATTTAGTGATCGAGACATTTAGCGAGTATGATCACATTTAGGATAGATGGTCATACTATTAAGAGGGGAGCTCTTATCGGACAACTCGATCATCTAGTGTCACTAGGTGTTGAAATACTTGCATTGCATTTTAGGCCTAGTGTACAACCAGTGAGAAAGTGATTAACCTTTGAAAAATGATTGTGAAAATGCTAACACACTTGCACGTGATGGTGAAATACTTGGAGTGTTAGCACATTTGCAAAGGTGGTGAAAAAGGTGAAGAAAAGGAGGCGTTGCCGGGCTCGGGGTGCTGCCACGGGGGCACTGCCATGTCCTGTCCGGTGCACCGCCACCCTGTCCGGTGGCACCACCACCCCTAGGACGGTGCCCACCTAGACGTGGCCGAAGTGAGCTGGTGTAGGGGCTGGCACCGGAAGTGGCGGTGTGCACCGCCACTGACGCGATGGTGCACCGCTAGGGCCACCGCACCCTGTCCGGTGCCACCGTCGTTTTTCAGTCGAGAGCAGGGGAAGGACAATTGGCCACCGCCGCGGGCACCGCCATAATTTTCCAGAGGCTTGTGTCGACGAAATATGGTCGGCAGTCTACCTAGTGGTATGCTCAAGGTAGTAGATTATCGGCAGACAGGTGCGCAAGCTACGAACGAGATGATGACGCAAGACAAACATGAGGTTTTTATCTAGGTTCGGCCACCGTGAGGGCGTAATACCTACGTCCTGCGTCTGATTGTATTGCTGTATGTCAATGAGATTGTTTTTGAGAGGGGTCCCCTGCCCGCCTTATATAGTCTGGGGGGCAGGGTTACAGATCTGGAAACTAATTCTAACCAATTACAATTGTCATAGGTGGCCAGATAAGGATTTATATTCTAACCGACCAGGATTTTACTTGATCTCCAAGTCTGCCTTGATTCCTTGCGCGGGACTTCGAGCAGATCGGCTGGACCGCGCGTCGTCTTCTGGTGGACCGAACCCCCTGGTCCGAGCCAGCCCAAACCTAGGCGTAAGGGTATAGGGGTTAATACCCCCACAGCTAGTCCCCGAGCACCATGTATTATGTTGCGACACGCCGTTTGATCTTCTTCGGCTAATGCGGTCTGTCTTCATGTCATCTCCAACTGGTTAAAACATTGACCAAGCAAATGCACAAGTATTCGACCAACCACAGAGAGCAGTAGACCATGATTATAGCCGAAGATTCCGGTTGTCCGAAGAATGCATGGTGCTCAAAAGAAAAAAAAGAAAAAGATTTCTTTCCTGATCAAGTATGCCCACTTGTATTTCTGAAAAGAAATGTAAGTGACCCTTATACAGGAGTAGTTATGGCCAACTGTCAGAGCGTAGGGGTCGATAAAATAAGCACATTCACCGCAAGGTGAAGTGTGCCCACCTAGTCCCCGAGCCTGGTAGTAGGTGACGTAGGGACGTGGTGCCAGGGTCTAAAAAGAATTTCCAGTTAAGTTGATAATCCAATCGTCGTACAGGCAATACGAACTGCACCGACAGGTGCATCATACCGATGTAGTCCCCGAGCTTGCTGGAAGGCGAGGAAGCAGCCCTGTAGCAAGGTCTAAGTGAGAAAAAATAAATGCCTCTCAACTGTATGTGAGTACAAATCACATGTAGCCGAGGAGAGCAGTCCCCAAGTAATGGTCGGAGAGTGGTCGGGGCAGTCCTCGAGTGCAGCATGGGGAAAACGACGAATCCCCGAGAATAACCGTAGTCAGAACAGTCTCCGAGCACAAGGGCGGTCGAGACAGTCCCGAGCACGAGAGTGGTCGGAACAGCCCCCGAGCACAATGGTGGTCAGGACAGTCCCCGAGCACAATGGTGGTCAGGACAGTCCCCGAGCACAATGGTGGCCAGGACAGTTCCCGAGCACAAGGAATGTGGCAAAAAACCATATGCCACTATTACTATTATTTTAGGTATTTATTTATCTATTTGTTCTGTCAAGTCCGGTCTGACACGTCTGGTCAAAGAAGTAGACGGGTATAGCACGTCATACTGCCTTTTTGTCTTGTCAAGCAAACATTTGCGTGGCACCTGTAAGTAGGTGCGTCAGCGTGGGCCATCCCACACTGGCAACGAAGAGGCGTATTTATTGGCGTAGATCTTGGGGCTGAGTAATACTGCAAATGTGAAAAACAGCTGTCTACAGCGCGTGCGCACGTCCCCCAAGAATCCTGGGCAAACAAAACGGCGTAACTCTTGGGTTAAATACAACATATGATAGGTCAGTTACTATTTACCGAACCCCATTGCCATTCGCAACCGCAACTTTCGTCTTCCTCTTGCCAACCAACCCTAACAGATCCGAAATCGCCACCAATCAATCCGCCGCCGCTTCAACTGCCACCCCTGCTACTCCCCAGCTTCTTTTGAAGATCAGCACACTCCCCGTTCACCAGCAAGGCCGGAGTCAGAGGCGGAAAACGAAAGGAAATGGCGAAAAGTGATGCGCAGAAGAAAACAGGGGTCATGGCGAAGGAATGGTGGAAGTCGAAAAACAACGAGCAGACCATTGAAGACCTCATCACCATGGGGGTACTCCACAATAAGGAGCTCGCAGGATGGCGTGCGCCAGAGGGCGAGAGGTACCCCGATCCACAACCAGGTGAGATCGTGGTGTTCGAGAATTTCTTTAAATGGGGATTTGGAGTTCCGATGCATCCGTTTCTTCAGGGGCTCTGTCTTTACTACGAGATTGGGATTTGCAATCTGCATCCCAACTCGATCCTCCTTGTCGCCACTTTTATTCACCTATGCAAAGCGTATGGCGGCTTCCAGCCCCATTTTGATTTTTTCCACCATCTTTTCTGTCTGCGGAAGAAAGGAAGCGGTGGTTCGAAGATAGCCGGAGATGTATACCTCAACCTCCATGACGGCATGAAAGCCCAGTACCCGCACTGCCATAGA